CAATCAAATAGTTGTCAATTTCCAAAATTACATATGTGCAAGCGCACTTACAAGTAATTATTATATATTGACAGGCATGACAGCTAAGAATCATGCAAGCACTTACTCTTAAGTCTTAACCATATACTTTATACAAATATTGACAGGCATTACAGCAAGCTTAAACATATTAAGAAGCATGATTAATTAATAGAGTAGCTGAGCACTTACCATATTTAAGTAAATGCACATGATTCTTTAACTTTTAACCCAAGGAGTAAAACGAGCTCTCAAGTAACAAATAAAATGAAAGCAGTGTAATTCTATCTTAGATTTTTCACCTTCCAGTAAAAGAATTAGTATAAATACACTACTATACCAAATAGCTAATTTAAAATTCAGAAATGATGATAAACATGGCTTACGCTTCCCCAATTGTTTTCTTCATTCCCCTGTTTTTTCATTCCCTCATGTGTTTTTACAAAATCTAGCCTTGAGAGCTTCTATAACACCATCGTAAGCCAACAAAATCAATCAAACATACAAAATGCCAAATTTGCGAATTCTTTTTGAAAACCATCTATTCTAGAGATCAACAAGCTCAATGAGAAAATACGTTCCAAACAAGTGGATATGGAAGTGATAGAGCAGCTTCTCTCCGTTATAATTAACAAAAAGAAGAATGTACTATGGAGGGAAAGGTGGTGGGAAAGATGCTCTCGTGGGCATTGATCTCAACCTTTTAAACTTGACGGTATTCCATACCTTTGAAGAGCTTATACCAGAGAATATGTTGCCGCTATACTTCGCTAATGACGGGCCTATGGAGTCAAAGTTTTTGAAGAAGCTTCACCTAGCCAATGCAAGTGCAATATCTTGTGGTGCCGCTCTTTCAGGGGAGATGTACAGATGTGTTGCATCTCTTGAGGATATGCTGAATTTAGGAACAAGACAATAGGCAAATTGGTCAAGCCTATTCTCACCCCAGCATGAAGATGGCAACAGTATACTGTTGTTGGCGAACCGCAAAAAATCAGTGATGATAAGGTATGTGTATGTCACAAGAGCAAATACCATCCTTTTGCAATTTATGGATGCCATTTCATAGCAAATACCATCCTTTTGCAATTTATGGATGCCATTTCATACAAATACCATCGTACGTCTGGTTCTTTTGGTAGGTGAGGACGGAACCAGAGTAACTGCGATAAATGTTTGTCATATGAAGACATCCTCATGGGGCTCGAATTCCATCATCTTCCAACTCATCAATGCCAAACCTGGCACTCCTATCTGTCATTTAGTAGCTACTGATGATATTACTTGGATCGCCAAGTGATCGATTGAAGTTTTTTTTTTCTTGTTTGAATTATGTTCCTTCTGTTCAATTGTTCAACCCTTCTTCTAATGTAGTGGACTTGCTGATGTCAAAAAAAGTATTGTTTGAATGATGTTCCTTTTGTTCAAAGAAGGTTTGATGGGAGAATAAATAAGAATGAACCTTTTCTAACCTTTTAGTAGTGCATTTTTCTAAAAATATAATGCAATATGTAATTTTAACTAATCTGTCAAAGAGATTATAATTTACGTACAGGTAATGCGATTTCCTAAAAAAATTAAAAAAAAATACTGGTGATAAGGAAATTTTTCCTATACAACTTCATTAAAAAAAACTAATTAAAGGTAGTAACCATTATAAAAATTTTGTCAAAATCGTGCATTGCACGACATCTAAGCTAGTTAGAAATAAAAGCATTTATATAAACGTTCATGAAGACTAAAAAATCCTAAAAACAAATTCATGTTATATTATATATTATATAATATATTGCATATAATATATATTATATATTATACTTTATATTATATAATATATTGCAAATTTATTATGTGTACATATACTTGACACATAAGAATATGTGTGCTTTATATTGATATTATTATTCGAATTTTCATATCGACTTTTTTCATATTAAATAATTTAATTTAAATTAGCTCCACCCTTGATAAGATTGGTTGTTTTCACTGGAAAATTCATCCACAATTCCACATCCCTCTTCCTTGCTTACTCACATGCGTGTTTTATAAGACTTAGGACAATACTAATTACAAATATGTTTTACATGATTAATTGAATAAGAGATTTTCCGATAAGTATTGCCTTGTTAAATTCAACTTTCATGTGGATCAAGATTAATGTTTGTACCCGTAGAAAAAAAATTAATGTTTGTTGTAATATAATATTACTAGCATTATTGTGAATTTGGTGATACAAAGTACTGCTTTTCATGAAGAAGTTTTCATGTGACAAACATAATCTGGTTCCATACTCACCTACTAAAGGAACCAAGTGTACTATGTTGTTTGCAATGAAATGGCATCCATAAATCTCAAAAGGACGGAGATTGCTTTTGTGACATACACATACCTTATTATCATTGATTTTCCACAATTCGGCAACAACTATCATCTTCCTGCTGAGGTGAGAATAGACTTGATAAATTTACCTTTTGTCTTTTGGACACATCCTCTAGAGACGCGACACACTTGTACATCTCCCTCGAAAGAGCTGAACCACATGAGGTTGCACTTGCATTGGCTAATAGAGGCTTCTTCAACAACTTTGATTATATAGGCCCCTCTTTAGAGAAGAATAATGACAGCTTGTTCCCTGGTTTAAGCTCTTCATATGTACGGAATACTGTCAAGTTCAAAAGGTGGAGATCAACGCCCTTGAGGGCATCTTTCCCTCCACCATAGTAAATTTGTTTGTCAATCAGAGGCGGATCTTTAAGGGGCGGACTAGGGCTTGGCCCCCCTTAAAAGCTTAGCCTAAAAGAATTAAAAATTACTTATCCGTGAAGCTAGAAAGCCCAAGTAACGAATCCACCTCATATTTTATTGCATTTGCTAAAGCCCAAACCTTAAAATAATACGGAGTATATCAATTCATAATTTTTCCTATTCTATATGCCGATTGGGCACAAGCTCCAATATACACGTGATAGATGATAGATTATGTACTTTTTTTTTTTTTTTTTGAGGAATAGGTTATGTAGTTATGTACTATTCATACATCATACTCCCAAATCTTTTTTATTTTTCTTTTTTCTATATGTATTATTTTCATTTTTGTAAATTAAATAAGATATGATCCTTTTAAGGAATTATTTTGAAATGCATTGGATTAACAATATTTTACAATTAATTGTGAAATTTCTTAAAAAAAGTTTTTTTTTTTTTTTTAAAGTTTTACATATATATTATAGTATTTAAGGCATGATTAAAAAAATAATTATGAATTGAACATTTAATTCGGCTCCTAGAAGAAAAGTTTTCAACATCCGCCACTGTTGTCAATGATGATGGGGAGTTGCGCTATCATCTCGATATTTACTTGTCTGGAATGTATCTTCTTGTTAAGTTGGCTGATATCTAAAGTTTTTTCTCGGAAAGGAACATATTTGGCTTGTATGTTTGATTGATTTTGTTGGCTTATGATGATGTTATAGAAGTTGCATTGTCAAGGTTAGCTCAGGCAAAAACACATACGGGACTGAAAAGGAGAGGAATGAAGAATAATACTATAGTTAAGGAAGGCATCAGGGGCTAGGGGTGTCCATTATTCGGATTAGAACCGAAATCCAATTCAACCCAAACCAAATTATAAACTCGGATTGGATCCAAACTTTAAATCGGATTGAATCGGACTGAATTTTTTTTTAAAATTCCGATTTTTAAATCGGATCGGATTAACCTTGTTCGGATCCAAAAAAACCGAAATAAGCGAAATATGAAACCGTTATTTTATAAATAAGTATTGTTAATATTAATCATGTTAAACAATGTTTATAATTATATTAATATTAATATTAATCATCAAAAACTATGTTTTCAATACTTGTATTAATCGTGTACAACTATACTTTCAAGGAATGAATTTTTATTATTGCCTTTTTAATTATAAATGTACTAGGCTCAAAAAATTTGCACTGTATTTTAATTCGGATTTTCGGATTGAATCCAAATAACCGAGTTTTAATTCGGATTGGATCGGATTGGATTTGGTTAGAAATTCAGATCGGATTGGATTTAGTTAGAAATTCAGATCGGATTGGATTTGATATTTGAAAACCGAAATATATTTCGGATCGGAATTTAGGCTAAATCCAAACTGAAAACCGAATGGACACCCCGATAGGGGCGGAGCCATAGCATAGTGAGTGGCTGCAAATGAACCCACTTGAATATATATTAAATAGTTGAGGGAATTTATTTTATATATAAATGTTGGAAGATAGATAATAAAATACTATAATAACTTTTTATCCTAAAAAATCTACTTATATTATTTTAATATATTCATGAATATATATATATATATATATATATATATATATATATATATATATATATATATATATATATATAAACATATCATCAATAGTAGTTGTAATTTGTAAATAACTCATTTATAAGAGGTTTATTGAAAGTGATAATTTATTTTATGCTTCGTAAATTTGAAATATAAGAACTATATATTTATGGATGCCAAATATAATTCTAGAAATTCGTATTTTTATATAATTATTAAGAAGATTAGATGTGTGGGGATTGAGACAAATAGGGTTTGTAGTTAGACATGTCAAACGGGTCGATTGAGTTAGGTATAGATTGATTAATACAAATTTTCCAATTTGATTTCATTTGAAGTATTTCAAATATCAACTCCTACTTGGCTTTGAAGATATACGCACAATTTAATGACAAATGAGGTCAAGTTAGGTTTGCACTTATCCAAGGTGTTATGTACTTATGTTGTCCATCTCACTTTTCAAAATCAAATTGCTTTTCAAAAATATTAAGGCTAACTGGCTAAGAGAAATCTATACGGAATTGTGTTCGATTAGGCTAATTTAAACTCTTTTTTGGCTATTAGTATGTAAAATGTTACACGGTTATTGAATTTTATTGTAGTAATATGAAATCAGCTACTAAACGATCAATTGAAATTCACAGAATTAGAACAAGAATGACCCAACATAGATTGCAAAGATAGCTACTTATTATTTATACATAGGTATTGAGTCAATGATACAGCATCATGACCAAAATAAATGTACATGTTACAAATGTCTGAAAGAATCAAGTTGATGTAAATTCCAAAAATAAAGACCCCAAGGCCCAAATTATCTAGCAGAATTGTTCTGTTCTAGCTGCTGAATCCATTCTTCTTCAACAAATATAGAGGAGATAACTCGAAGTAGAGCATAAAATATCACTTGTACTACATAATGCGATTTTTCTTTATTTTTGTACTGCTTACCATTTATATATGCATCTGTAATTCACATGAAGGTCACACTGAAATACTTACAAAAAATGGCTTATGTCATCAGTATGTAAATGAATATTCATTCTGTTGTCCTTTTGGTTATTAGCAGAATCTCAACAGCTGCTTCAATAAATCACTAGTAAGTTGACCACTGTTAAAAGTCCATCACTCCATAACTCGAGCAGATGAGTACCATAGACCCAGAGTCTTTGAATATTAATAGTGTGGATTAACTAGCCAAGATGCATCGGAAACACAGATGACTGGCAGCGAATTCTTCACAATCAAACCCAGACCTCAATTTTTGAGCTGAAAGCACATAACCAACTTCTTCCACAAACCAGTGCTCTCGTTATTAGCTGGAAGTTCAGTTGGTTCCTTGAAATGTGCACTCTCACTAAGCTCCTCAAATGCATCCACCAAGTATCCAAGCCTTGCAACAAATTCTACCAAAAGAGAAGCAAAAGTTGCTAATGACAAGGAACTAGCGCTTTCATAAGTTTGTGCTTCCTTTTCATTGATGGTGAAGTCAGGAAGAATTGAAATACGTGAAGGCCAATGAGTCCTGCCAGCCATGCTGTCAGTGGAGCACAAGCCTTGCATTGAAGATCCACCACCAAACATAGAAATCTTTGAATTTGTGATATCAATGTTTGATTGCGTATGCTCAGGTTCGATGCTAAGCACACTGAGGGAATTTATCACAAGCTGACTGCCACCACAATCCTTCATTTGGGCAACATGATCAGGATCTTCAAATTCCTTGGGCCGTTTTCCTTCCTCCCAAGACTCAAAACTAACCAGAAGATAAGACTTTTCATCTATCCTTGTTTGCAGTTGCTCTGCTGCTACATGAACTTCAGCCAGTATATCATTATCATTTAGTTTCTCCATTTTCTCAACTTTGCTCCCAAGGTCACGTAATAGTTTAGCCCCAGCAGTACCAACCCTGCGAAGTTCATTAACGAAAACCTGTCTTTTTTCTGCTGGTGCCTATGCATATTAACAGACAGATTCAGTCAAATAATTATTTCAACATAAAAAAGAAGGTAGTAGAAGCTAAAGCCCAAGAGTGCAAAGAAATAATTTTCTTCAATTTTTTTTTTTTTAATTGTAGCCATAAAAGTATAAAACCCCCTAAATTAGGATATTCACATGTCCCTACACTAGATATCTATAGAAAAAGAACTGCATAAACCTTCGCCGGACTAGAAGGCCTCAGCCTTGAGCCCTTGAACAAATAAATCAAACCATAACCATAACTAATCATGACAAACTAATGAATTCACATAACCTTTCATAATTAATAGGGGTTTTGCAATGATCCCTTTTGAAAAAAAAAAAAAATCTAATTCATGAATCTTTTTTGGGTGTATTTCAAATTTTTCAATAGACTCAAGGACTTTCTAAGATGCCATAGGTGAGATATGGGAGATTTGTGAGGTCGTTTAGCATGACATATATGAGCAAACTAGATAGTGGTTGAGTATATATTGATGCTATATTTAGAGACCAATCTTTGGTTGATGTTTAAAATTTTTATACGTGGCTAGCTAAAGTGATTGCTTCGGGCACACATTTCTTGGGAGAGCTTTTTCCCCATCAGGGCTTCACACTTGTCTCAAAACCAGATTAGTCAAAGTCTGGTATAAAAAGCTATGGGCAAACAATGAGTAATATTATAGACTTGGCAAAAACTGACCAACTTGAAAACCAACCTGAACGTCCTGAACCCTAACCTGCCAAAATAATGGACAAAAGTAACTTGAAATTTTGATAAGATGTGAAAGCGGTTATTCATATAATGCACTTCAGACTTGAGAATTGAGACGGGCTGACTACATTGAGTCTTGCTCTTTACTTATTGTGCTGTTAGTTCCATTGTCAATCACACTCATAAGTGATAGCTTAATTAGGCAGAACACCCTACAGGCTACAACTCTATGATAAGGAATATGATTTACAAATCAAAATATTATACTCGTATTAACGGAAGTAACTTTGATTATTACAGAATTAAATTGGTCTTAAGCCTTGTTTTCAAATATATCTTGTATAAAAATTAATAATTACTTAAATTTATTGTAAAAGCATTACTGGATTCTGTTTACTAGTACTAAAAATTGCAAGTATTTTATTAACACACAAACTCTAAAATAAAGAGGTCTCTTAAATTTGTACAAATATCACTTCCTCTACTTTTTAATAAATGCAACTTGTCATTGTCGCCTTTGCACAGATTTTGAGGAAGAGAGTAGTGAAGGTAAATGAATAAATTATTTAAAATAACCTAAACACCGGTAAGACGAAAGGATTGGCTTACCTATATTTAACACTATAACTTATATTACCATAATTGTCCATTTATCTTCTCTAATCTCTTCCCTAAAATGTGTGTCAAAGAAACATGTTAAAATTATTAAATAAAGACGGAAGAAGTATATTAAAATAGATAAGGAGCATGAAGCTAACTACTTCCTCCGTTTCCTTAATATTGCAACAATTACCATTTAAAAAAGTTTCACAAATATTGCAACATTACCATCATGCTTTCTCTCTATCTCTCTCCTCATCACATGACTCTCTATCTTTATTTCTCTTTCTCTCCATCTAAAATTCTGTGTCTTCCCCCTTGTTGCAATATTAGGGGAACGGAGGAAGTATAATATTATTACATGATAGTCCATGTATGGTTATTGTATATGATATGATGGAGGGATCTAGTTTTGAAATACTTCTCAAAACGATTCTAGTGATATGATAATTACAAATAAATGATTAAAAGTTATCATTCAAACATGATTTTATTTATGCAAAATGCTACTATATTAGTAATCCAAAACTCTAATAAATAGTAAGAAAATATAAGGCAACATCATGAGGAAGTAGTAATGCAACATGGTTATGTATCTGTTGTTAGATTACATGCAAATTCGTAAATATTCTGAAAGCTAACAATTGTACCACTGGGTTTTAAAATGCACCATTGATAGTGGAATAGTACTATAAGTGGTTATAATGATACTCCTTCCTCATTAGGTTGTGAAAATACCTAATGACAACATTTAGCATTTAATAAGGTTTTCGATTGTAGTCGTCTCATGTCGGGTTTGTGGATCCTGCTCTATACATTTTTGTATATATATATTTTCACCCTACATCACTGGTATGACCATCATAACTTTTTAGAGAGATGGAAGGTAGGTTGAGCATAAGTCTTATAAGCTTGTAGGGCCTATGATAACTTCTATGACATCGGCGGAGCTACAGATATTCTAAGACATCAAATTTTATTGCTCCCTCTAGCTTTTTTTAACAGTTTTGACTTTTGCATTGTTCATGTGCTGACTTTGACTAATGTTTTCACTAATATATAAAAAGCACATGTGCTTATATAATATGTTGTTGGAGTAGTCACGTTGTGTACTATCACGGTATCAACTTTTTATAACTTTTACGGATATTAAATTATAGATATTAATAGTCAAAGTTATGTTTTGGCAAATGTGGTAATCAAGCCGTTGCATTTTTAAAAAATAAAATATATAAAGGGAGCATATTCTATGAATGGCACAAAGTGCAGCCTCAATTGGTGATGTAACCTTTATCACTAAATAGGTGGGCTACCTAGGGTTAATTAAGAACAAACTCTTAAAAAAAAAAAAAAAAAACAAAAAAAACAAAAAAAAAGGGGGTTAATATGAGTGTTGCATTAGAGTAGCTAATGCAAAATTTTAGTAAGAGTGGGCAGCACGGTTCTCGTTCGCAATGATGATGTGCGGAAAAGGCAGCACAGCAAAATAAAGATTCCGACATTCCCAAGGTTATAAAATTTATGAATGACAAGTACATAAGCCTTATCAGTCGCTGTAATTACTACTTAGTAACTACTATGGTTAATCTAGCAATTTTCTCATAAATTGTTTTCTTCTTATGCTCTAGAAGTCCTAATCTCTCAATATGTTTCTTGATTTTGTAGATAAATCATTGCATGGTATTGTGAGGGCATTAGATTTTTAATTAAATTAGTTGCTTATAGATGGTTCTTCGTAGGATCTTTCCAATATGTTTCATATATATGTCAGACTTATCCCAAAACAATTGCATGTTCCAATTTGTTTCTATATTCTCTCTTAGTCTCATTACCTTGCAATCTACCGTCAGCTCCTTTAGGAGAGGGAAAAACCGGTTTAAAAAACTTGGTAGTTGAGCATCCTACATAAAGACATAGGACTATTTGATAGCACAAAATCAGTTTATAACTGATGAAATTACTAGGACTATTACTAAATGATCTAATGCCATAACTGATGAAATTACTAGGACTGCTATTAAATGATCTAATGCCACAAAATTAACTATTGAGCACCCATACCAAAAGCAACAAGATTTTGTGAAGCTTCATAATCAATTATATACTTAAGAGAGTTACAAAATGCAGCTGACAGCATAAAAAACAACTAAACACACCTAGCTTGGTTAGAAAGAACAGTTAAAAGGAGAAGCAGTGAGACACACACACACCTGTATTTCTGAAAGAATGCATCCATGCATTGCCATGACCATGAAAGCACAATGCCTCAGAGCACCACTGACTTTAACATAGTTTTCCCATGGATAATTAAATGACTTGTAAGGGCCATGTGGAGGCTCCCATGTCGCAAAACCTAGCTGAAACAGAATGTATTTTTGTGGTTAAAGCAAACCATTCTGACAAAAAAAAAAAAAAAAAGAGGTAAATAGTGAAAACTCTAAAAATCAAAATACCAAAGATTCCTCTTGGCTTGTAGACTGGAGAGCTGCTCTGTAACCACCATACATAGGATCATCATAAACTTGGTATGTAAGAATTTTTGAAGGGATTTTATCATATGCTACACAACGCAAGTAACCATCAACACAGCCTACAAAAGAGTATGAACTTGTTTCAGGAGCAGGTCAAATGAAAGGAACTAATCAGGCACTTGCTCCCCCCCCCCCCCCCCCGCGCGTTCTCCCCTCTACCGGCCCAAAAAAAAAGAAAAGAAAAGTAGTGAAGTGTGGTCAAACCTTCCAATGAAGTAGCAACACCTTTGAAATTTTTAACAACCAACTTGTGAAGATCCTCACCAGCCCAGATAGGGAAAATACAGATGTTGACGAGAGAAGCCATGCCAGCCCCAATTGCAATAAGTAATAACCGAAAGTATGCTGTCCGCAGAAAGTTTGATGTTTTATTTCCAGTCACCAGTACTAAACAAAAAGTCAGTAGGAATACCCTGAACCCATACTCATAAGGTTTCAACTTGGGGTATAATTTAACATAAGTCACGCAAAATCCTGAACATCAAAAGATCATAAAAGCCAGGTTAGTATGATATTATCATGAAAAAGACGGGCATTAAATTAGTCATATTACAATCACGAGTGGACATAGATGACATTCAATAGCAATAAGAAGGAAACAGATTTCAGCTATGGTAAGCTCTAATTAAATTTACACTTATATGAAGTAAAACTAAAATGCTGACCTCCAACAAATAGAGTAGCTATAATGAATGCTTCTTTAAATTCTCCAACATGAATGGCTACTTCTGCTATCCCTAAAGCAATTGCACCAGCAGACAGAGTTCCAATAGCACGGTTACAACCTTTACTGAGAGATGCTCCTACAGAAGAATAAACATACTGTCATACAGAGTGAATGGATGAGTACAGCAAAAAAAAAAAAAAAAAAAAAAAAAAAAAAAACCATGTAAAGAACCCTGCTTCACACATCGAAGAAACTTAAACCCTAAACTAGAAATCTAGAATCATCGCAAACAACAATCATAGGTCCATAAATTGGATCAATAATAAACCTGAGCCCATTTCACAAAAATAGACAACAAAAGTACAGGCTGAGATCTCTTTGTTGAAAAAGAAATACAACAGTTCATTCCATCACTTTCGTTGTTTTTGCTCAGTTTTTCCTATATACAGCCTGGGAATTGAAATGGGCCAAAATTAATACTAATTTCGACTGAAAAACCAATACTCTCTAGTCTCTCCGTTCCACAATAAGTATTTTTTGCGATAGTATGTACAAACCAAGATGGTTAGTATTGCATAGATTTGCATTCTATTTCCGAATTCACAAGTAACATTGCATTAAAATTTAAAACTAACTTTTAATAAGCATTTACATTCGAAATAGACTATCACAGTTACAGTAAAAATTACCAAATCAAACAGCGCTGTACAACACTAAAATCAAAATATCAACCACAAATGCACACAACTACACTACATTCAAAACAACCTAGCACAGTTAAAATAGCCCAAATCAAACGGAACAACATGCCACTGAAATATATAAACGGGAACATATCTAAATTACATTAGAAACAGACTAGCACAGTTAAAATCGCCCAAATCATACAGAACGCCACAAAAATAAATAAATTACTGCATACCTACACTAAGCAGACTCACACAATTAAAATCGCTCACATTAAACAGAACAGCATACCACTGAAATACAACATACCTACACTATAATCAAAACAGACTAGCACAGTTAAAATCGCCCAAATTTAACAAAACAACATACCAGTGAAAGACGAAGAAAATTAAAGCCGACATACCTACATTATATTCGAAACAGACTAGCACAGTAAAAATCGCCCACATACAAAGTATTAAACAAAACAACATACCACTAACAAAACATAAAATCAACGACATACTTACACTACATTTAAAATCGTCCAAATTAAACAGAACACCATACTACTGAATTACATAAATAAGCAACATACCTACAATATATTCGAAGTATTAAACAAAACAACATACCACCAACAAAACATAAAATCGACGACAAACTTACACCACATTCGAAACACAGTTAAAATCATACTTATCAAACAGAACAAAATACAACTGAATTACATAAATAAACAACAACATACCTACACTATATTCGAAACAAACGACAACGGTTAAAATCGCCCAAATTGCATATTGACTAACATCCTTTAAAGGTCCCGTCAAAAAAATGAGCAAAGAAACCAAAACCAAACACAAACCCATTTTCGCCGAGAAGAAGACTTTTCGAGGGTCTGATCTTCCCATTTCATATAAATTAACCCAGAAATCTTTGAACCCATTAACACAACCCGAAAACCCATCACAAACACATCGATAAAACCCGATTTTGGCCCGATTACAAATTGATCGGAAACACCCAGAATCGTTTAGGTCAGTTTCTGCATCCGAAGTCGAAAATCCGAATTCATTATACCCTTTTCGAGAGAGCAATCTCTCTTTACTTCTCTCCATGAAACTCTGCCTCAATGATCCGAATTTTGCCGCCATTTTAAAGGGTAAATTGTGAAAGCTAAATTGTCCTTTGAATAGTCGTGATAATGAAATTGAACAAAAGGAAGAAAATTGAGATGATAAATTGGAGATTAAGCATTACCAAGAGACAAATTAATTTAGTTTAATACAATTTCAATGGGATTAAATTCAAAAAATCGGACTTTGTAAAAAAATGAAGGGGTCGTGAAGAAGACGTGCTGAATTTAGGGAAGAGAGAGATGATGATGGAAGAGTTGAGGAAGGAGGGAGATTCAAAGTTAATTATGCCAGAAATTTTTAAAAATTGATTGATTATTTGATGTGAGAGAGAAATTTCAATCAGATCTCATCAGATTTTACAGCACTTTGATGATTGATTTGTTTGATTTTGTCTTTCATGCTGTTTTTTTTTTTTTAAATTATAATTATTAAATATGGAAGGAAAAAGTACAAATACTAAAAGGTTGGAAGAAGAAGAATTGTAGAGGAGGTAAATTAGTTATGGAGTTTTGGCCTTTCCGGGGTCGGATTGAAATTTTCAATTTCGATTTTGATTCGGATAAGGAGTTTTTCATTTGGACTTGTTATGATGTCGGCTGGATTATTTTTGGATCAGGTGATTTTAATTTTGGGTTAATTTGTTACGAGTGGTGCTTTTACTAGTATTTAAAATTTTAGCAAATTTTTTTCTTAAAAATTTTTTTAACAAATTTATAATTTGTTTTTAATGTAATCTATCTATCTATTAACCTATACTGAAAGCAAATCTTTTAATGACACTTGTCATTACCTTGTGAAATTTTTTTCCGCTTTTTCGCCTTTTTTTTTTATTTGCAAAATCTTTAAGTAAACTATTTATACCTTATGTATTTTCTTTCCAGATTGACAATCATATCTCATATTGGTCATATATACCCAAATGAAATATTTCTGAATATCATTTATATACTTCATATTTTGTAATATTATGGTAAAAAATATTTAATAATCGTGCATTGTACGAGATTTTAACCTAGTTTATGAAATAATTAAAAAGATTTGCATGATCTAGTAAAAGTATATTAGTGTCAAATAAAGATTCTTATTATCAATGTTGAACAAAGTACATTAGTTTTGATTTGATTAGGATTATACTAACCGTGTATTATCTATTTATCTTATTTGAGTGGGTTACTTATTCCATTTAAGAGTAATTTTCACAATCTATGGTAACCTATTTGATTGAAATTTTATATGATTTACAAAGAAGTCCTTTAGAAATTCCACTTGCTTTTTCTCAACTTTACCTTGGTTTTCGTTTTAATTCATTTGATTGTACTATTGTGTAATTAGTCCGATTATGCAAACGAGCTCAAAATTTACTAGATTTCATTCCCTAACTTAGTTGGACCGATTTCCTAGACTTGATCTACAAACTTAGTTGGCCCAATCTTCTTGTCCCTTACCCAAAATGAAGCTCGCGAAATTCACAAACCTTCCAAGATCAACACGAGTTAGATAGTCCTTTGGATAATCTTTCATACGATATATTATAAGATAACTTCAAGTTATAATTAAAAAAATATATATGGGCAAAATGTTAAAACCGGCCTCAAAATGGACACCTATGCACTCTTGGGAGAATTTCTTAAAATCTACCAATTATATTGACCTAGTTTCAATTGTTTTGAAAAGTAAAGTTTTGTAGCTTTCTAACAATATGTTAAAGCCCAATTTCAACTTCATAATTCAAGAGTTATGAGCTCTATAAAATAGGTTGCGCTGGCACTAAACAAGAGCTTAGGCTTTTGAGGCGAGAGCTTCATTAGAATTGAAATAACTCCCTTCCTTATTCCATTATCTTCTTCCTTTTTTGCTATAGATACTCCCTTTGACCTTGATTTCTTCATTAGAAAACCCTTCGAATTACAATATTGACAAAAAAAATCCTTATTTCATCTCTCTCTTTAGTATTGTAAGCTAAACCCTTCAAAAATACCTCAGCTCCAAGTTACTACAAGTATTAATGGCTTGTTTGTGCAATCACTTTGACCTTAGCAATTCAGGTTCAATTTTTGAGGAACCCGTTTTTCAAAACAAAATAATTCTATAATAAAATCTTTCTTCTTTAATAAATCTTCTTTAAAATACTTAATTAATGATTGATAGTTAAATGATTACACACTTAATTATTTATGTTTTGGGGTTTTTTATGTGTTCTGCGGGAGAGTTACAATTCCGAGAACGGCTTGCTGACCGGCTGTGTACCTGCAAAACAACGAAACTCCGGTTGGGTGGAGTTCCGCCTCCGACGATCAAGTTAGAGCTCGTTCGAAGTGAATAGTGCGGAAATAAATGGCTTTCTCTCTGATTCAGAGAGAATAAATGCTTAGTTTTGTTTTTGTGTTTTTTTTGTTTGGATTTGTGAATACCCAATAAATGAGTTATTTTCCTCTATTTATAGGGTTGGGGAACTGTATCCCCACCAGTAAGGAGGTGCCACGTGTCAGCCTGGGATTGGCTCCCACTTGCCTTCTCTGGGACTGACACGTGGCGCTCTCTGATTGGGCCACGTGGCTAGGGTAGTTTTTACCCTAATCATTTGCCCCTCACAGATGACACGTGGCGTGCCACGTGGCATCTGACATGGCATGCCACGCAACATTGCTATGACAGTTGTCACAATGAGGGGAGGAGACGGTTGGTCTCCCTCCCTCCATTTTTTTTTTTTTTTGAATTTTTTTGAAGGGGGAGGTGACGGTTGGTCTTCCTCCAAATTTTTGAATTTTGAATCAGAGAGTTGGTGATTCGCCTTCCCTGACCCCTATATAAGGAGTCCTTCCTCAATCATTTGCAACATTTGCAAATTTCCAAAAAATCCAGAAGAGAGCTCTGATACCGGCTGAGAGTAAACACCAATCGTTCCTTGTTTTTCACATCCGGCTTTGCATCACTTCCTAACTCAGAGCACCCGCAATCTTCCGGCTGAGGTAACTTTCACACCTCTTTGCATACTTATACGGGGGGGTTAGCTTGCCATAGATTAGGGTAGCAGCCGGATTTATTCATTTTTGCACAACCGGTGATCTTGGAAAACTTGTTACATCTGCTCAATAGACCCCCATCCGGTATAAACCGCATGGGGTACTGTTGAGAAATTTATGGGTTGCTTCTCAAAGCTCTCAAAGGACCCCCATCCGGTTATGACCGGGTGAGGGATCTTTGACTGACCCCATTTTTTCCAAGGCTCCTCAATATACCCCCAACCGGTTTTAACCGTCTGGGGACATTTGGGTAGATAAAGGCCTTTCATGAGACCCTTGATAAGCCCTCATCCGGTTTTAACCGTCTGGGGGGCTTTTGGAGGAATTCTGAATTTTTCCAAAAGCTTTCAATAGACCCCCATCCGGTTTAAACCGTCTGGGGTGCTTTTGAGTCATTGTATTTTTCTCAAAATCTTTCAATACACCCCCATCCGGTTTTAACCGTCTGGGGTGCTTTTGAGTCATTGTATTTTTCTCAAAAGCTTTCAATAAACCCTCATCCGGTTTTAACCGTCTAGGGTGCTTTTGAGTCATTGTATTTTTCTCAAAAGCTTTCAATAAACCCCTATCCGGTTTTAACCGTCTGGGGTGTTTTTGGAAAAGTTTGACCAAAAACGTTGACCAGACCGGATGGGGTGTTTTTGGGTAAGTTTGACCAAAAACGTTGACCAGACCGGATGGGGTGTTTTTGGGTAAGTTTGACCAAAAACGTTGACCAGAACCGGATGGGGTGTTTTTGGGTAAGTTTAACCAAAAACGTTGACCAGACCGGATGGGGTGTTTTTGGGTAGGTTTGACCAAAAACGTTGACCAGACCGGATGGGGTGTTTTTGGGTAGGTTTGACCAAAAACGTTGACCAGACCGGATGGGGTGTTTTTGGGTAGGTTTGACCAAAAACGTTGACCAAAACCGGATGGGGTGTTTTTGGGTAAGTTTGACCAAAAACGTTGACCAGACCGGATGGGGTGTTTTTGGGTAAGTTTGACCAAAAACGTTGACCAGACCGGATGGGGTGTTTTTGGGTAGGTTTGACCAAAAACGTTGACCAGAACCGGATGGGGTGTTTTTGGGTAAGTTTCTGAATTCTGATCACTTGGATCATTTTTTGCAGGTATTTGAGACCGTCTGCAGTGCTTCCAATCAGCCTTCAACTTTTCAACTACAATTTAGTACCAAGGTACCGCCTGTAATCCTTATATTCTCTTGTCAATTTTCCGGCTGACTAGGTAGTTAGAAATGGACTCACCCAACACACACTTGGCACAACCTAGAACTGATGTCAACCGGTCACCAAGTACGGCTGAGTCTAGGACTGGGGATGCCGCCTGGGAGTGTTTGGTCCATTCTTGTGATAAAAATCCGACCATCTCTGCTCATGTGCAGGACAGAATGGCCCAAACAAGATGGACGGTGGTAGATCCGGATTACCAGTCTGAAGATTCAGCCGGACCTCCGGTTGAAGACATCCCCTACGACCAACCGGGTGTACCAAGTACACCAAGTGATAGGATATTAGAGGGGTCTGAATCTGGTGAGGAGGATACTGCTCAGAGATCCGCCTCCTCTTCTTTTGCCACAACATCCGGGGAGCCGGATGTCCAAGAAGTGGACAAGGACGCCTTCAAGTGGAAGTCCATAAATAATCCCACTGAGGCGTCAATGAGCGCCCGGGATATTGTCACTTTAAACGCCACTTTGCCGGCTTTCTTGGCAAAGAAACCAATAGGGGCCGGCTGGGACCTGGTAGTGCCGCCAGCTGAAGCGACGATTGTCTGGGATGACAACCGGGACCACGCGGACAACTACTTCGGCTGCTATGAGGCGGCCTTCAAAGCCGGTCTCCGGTTCCCCCTGCATCGAGCAATCAAGGCCATACTAAGGGGGTATGACCTGGGCGTTTGGCAACTTACACCCAACTCTTGGGTCAATATTTTGGGATATATTGCCGCCTGCGAGATGCAGGATGTGACACCTAGCTGGGAGGCGTTTGCACATATGCATTACCAAAGTCGTGCCCCAGGCGGCTGGAATGCGTGGTATACCCTGACCACGCATCCGGAATTTATGATGACCCTGGACAAACTGTCCAAGTGGTCAAGTTGGAAGAGTAAATTCTACTTGGTGTCATCACCGTCTCTCCAACAGAACTGGAGGCTGCGCACCTATGATAAGCAGTTGTTGCTTCTTGGGAAGAAGTGCGCCCTCCCAAAGATACCGGAAGAGGCCTGGGATCAAATTATGGAGCCGGGGCTCTTTAAGAAGACGACCATGCCCCTGGATGACGGGACACATATCATCGTGCCCAAATTTTGGGTTCCTCATCCGGAGTGGTTTGGAGACGAGGCGTTTCTCTCCGCCTGCGGTCTGAGTACCATGTTTACCAAACGTACGTCATAGACAACCGGCCTTTTCATCCGCCTGTATTATGCTTGGACTGTTCTAACTTTATTCATTTGTTTTGCAGAACAAGGTAGAGAGATGGTTTCCCCGGACATGACCCCGGCTAAATCAGCAGCTGAGCTCCGCAAAGAAAAGCTCGATAAGAAGAGGGCTCAAGTTGCAGCCCGGAACGAAGGGGTAAGTACCGGATGCTCTCTCTTATTTTTACCGGATGTATGAGTTGTAGCTCATACTTTTTACTCCGGATGCATATTAACTTGCTAATATTTGTAACTTTTTCTTTTGCAGTCTGGGAGAAGGGCGGTTCCCAGGTCCCTCCGGCAGATGACAAAGAGGCCCGGCGAGGATCTCTCTCAGCCGGCCTCCTCCCGCCAGAGAACCATCCCCATTCCTCCTCCCGT